ACAACAAGAAGAAGCGCAACTTCTTTCTTGGTCAAATGCTATCGAATCTATGTTTGCGAGTGGAATTACTTTTGGTTATAAAACTTCAATGACTAATGAAATTAAAACAAGACTTAGTACAAATGTTAATTTGAAGCAAATTCAGAAAACAACTATCAATAAATTTGAGACTCAACGTCTTTATTTTTTATTATGTATTCTCATTACTCCCAAGAAAGAAATCTGGATGAGTCTAAGAAACAACCTGAACAAAGATTTTTTTGGTCATTATCAGATAGCAGGTGGTTCGCTTAATCCTGGAGAATCATTTGATACTTGTGTTAAACGTGAAGTTTTAGAAGAGACCAATATAACTTTAGAAGAATGTGATTTTATCACATTTGATGAAGGAATCCGACATTTTTCTAATAAGGGTAAACGTTTATTTAAAACAGCAATTTACTTTAGCATTACCGATAAGATTCCTGTACAAACAGAATCAGATAACAATGGTCCGTAGGAAAAATACACCTTTACTCAGTTCAAGAATATGAAAGTCACAGATTCTTTACGTCTCAAAGAAAATATTATTATCAACTTGATTTTAAACAAATTCAAGTTACGTCATTATACTAAAAAACGTAAGATTGAAGAATCTGCAGCATCTTCTCCTTCACCAAATATTGTTTCTGAGAATATTGTGCATTCTGAGAATATCGAGGAGGAGGGCGCCTTAGAAATTTAGTTTTATTTTTTTTTTTATCAATGTATTTACAAGTTTATAAATCAATCTAACTAATTTATGACCGGTTAGACTTTTAATTACGTAATTCTGAAATGACCAATAAGAAGGTGAATTGTTTTACTTAATATTCATATTTGTGTACGCTGCTCTATATTGCATTAGAAATTTATTCTGGAAAGAAAATTATGAATTTTCTCGAGGATAAATTTTAATTTTGCTAGGAATGTGAACGTGTAGTCGCCGCAACCCACGGAGTGAAAAATATATTTTATTAATTATTTTTATTATTACAGATAACAAATTGGTCAAAGGGACATACTTTCGAAGATGTTCTTCATAAATTATTTAATGATAATGGAATAATTGCTTACATAATTCAAGTCTCTGAAGGAGACGGAGGATTAGATTTATTACTTTCATACCAAGGTAATCAAATCTGTGTACAGTCCAAAGATAGAGAAAATGCTCTTATATTATCTATGGTCAAAGATTTTGAAGCTATGATGATTCATTTTAAAAGTTTATTAGAAATTTTGGTTTATAATAGTGAGACAATGAGAACAGAAAAATATTTGACGAAACAAGCTAAACTTTGGTTAGACAATTCAACTCAAGAATTAATTGTTTGTAACAAAAAACAAGTTGTTGAGAAAATTAAGAATTTTTTTAAGAATGAAAAAGATCTGACAGAATTGATTTTAACTGATTTTAAAATGGATAAATTTTCTTTAATGGGAATTATTTTTGAAAATATGTATATTAGAAAGATAATAGTAAAAAAAAGCAATCAATTTTTTCCTTACTAAACTAGTTATCTTTATTATCTGTTCAGTTTAATACCGAACAGATCTTTTCTAGAGTATTTTCTTTTAATTTAGTAATAAATTTATTTTTCGTTTAAAAATGCATCAAACTATTTTTTTATATTTATCATTTATTATTTTTTTCATTTTGATAAAGATAACGAAGAAAACAAAGATTAATTGTATTTACGGGAACTATTGGTGTTGGCAAAACTACTTGTGCCAAATTATTCGAATCTTTTCTGAAAAGAAAAAGATTTACCGTAAATTGTTACAAAAAAATTTTATTACAAGTTATCGAAGAATTTTGTATATTCAATAAAGACAAGCAAAAGAATTTTCTTTTTTTCCAATATGTTTTGTTGCATCACTTTAAACAACAAATTTACGAAATTAAAAAGAACAATTTTAGTTTTTTATAGTGAGGGGCCGATCACACAACTCTTTCTGACGATCACTTGTACCAAATTTTCTCTACAAACAACTTGCGTTTTTGCAAAA